TATCCATCTATTCGGAAACTCATTATTTAGACGTTCATGGACTTGTCGAAAATGTGGAAAAACCACATCAGGTAGGAACCAGATATTCTGTCTCACATTTAGAAGAACATCTTCTAATAACTGTGGCAGATTGTGTTGAAGAAAATCTACATAAATTTCACCGGTCTGTCGAAGTGGAGAAAATAGTCAATTGTTAATTGTCTTTATTGGGTTGACCAAAAGGCGGAGGTCACGTTGTGTGCTCTTTCACACATCCTTACAAATATACAAAAAATGAAAATAAATACAAATAATATAATGAAAATAGAAGGTACGAGTTGAATGTTAAGCTTCTGCTGCTTTTTTAAAATAAAAGATTTAATTGTCTTCTTAAATGGATGCGCCATCAGTTGGTTTTTTTTGAAGTTGGAATTATTTTGACAGTTGGTAACACTTCCACATTTGACAGATATATTGTGTGAGCAATGGACCGTTATGATATTGAACGCGACTGGTATACCAAAAGTCGTGAGGAAGGTTCGTGAAACTGGCCTGCTTGTGGATGATAGAAGGTATAAGCGTCTTCGACCCGTACGTACAGCCGAAAATATTGCTGCTCTTGCCCAGAGTATGCGTGAAAACGCAAGAGTGTCAACTCGTCACAGGGCACAGCAAGTGGGTATCAGTCGCACTTATGTGCAGAGAATATTGCACAACGACCTGGGATTATTTCCTTACAAGGTGCAACTTGTGCAAGAGTTGAAACAAAATGACTATCCGCTTCGATATTGTTTCTCTGTGTGGGCTCTAAATCAGCTGGAAACGGATGTCAATTTTGGTCGCCAAATCATCTTTTCGGACGAAGCCCATTTCCATGTGGGAGGTTACGTTAACAAGCAGAACTGTAGGATTGAAAATCCACATGTCAAATGCATCCAAAAAGAGTAACTATTTGGTGTGGCTTTTGGAGTGTTGGGATTATTGGTCCTTACTGTTTTCAAGATGAAGTGGTAACAGCGTGACGGTAAACGGGGAGAGCTATAGAGACATGTATGAGGAGTTTTTTGTGGCCACTATTAGACGACATGCACTTGCACAATCTCTGGTTCCAGCAGGATGGCGCAACATGCCACACCAGCCGTGAAACAATCGATCTTTTACACACTAAGTTCGGTCATCGCGTTATCAGCCGTTTTGAACACGTTCATTGGCCAGCCCGCAGCTGTGATTTGACGCCCATGGATTACTTCTTATGGACCGCTGTTACACTAACGATCCTCAAGCAACTGATGTTCTTAAGGAAAATAACCGTCGAGCTATCGATGAAATAGACCCAAAAACTATCGAAAATGTGCTACAAAATTGGGTTAAGAGGATGGACTACTGCCAGGCCAGCCGCGGCAGCCATTTAACTGAAATGGTTTTTCATAAATAATCGGAAGGTGTATACTTTTGAATAAAGTATCGAGTGTCACATATTATCGAAGAGTGTAGTTTTACTATCAATTTAAAAAAGAAAACAACGGATGGCCCACGCTTTAGAACACAAAACAACAGCATGGCAAGTTCTTATGAAAAATTCTTAAAGTGCCCCCTGTGGAGATAAATACCCCCTAAAGGACTAATTTTTGTTGATTTTTAACATTTTCGCGGTACATTCTTAGCTAGAAATATAAACTCAGGAAGGACCTCCAAATTAGTGATGCCCTAACTTTGACTTTTAGGATACCTTGTACTGTTATTGCATATCGATGTTTTATGTAAATTTAGCTAATGATCCTCCCAACATTTGACCCTTGTGTGAAAGCTACACACGACGTTTCTGGCTCTGGAACATCCTCTTTAATTAACGCTCCCAACCCTACACTTCAACCGTGCGCTTTGAAAGAGTTTTAATAAGAGATAGGGTTAAATTAGGAACACTTTTTTATCCTTCTACCGGTATAAGGCACATCAAACCAGCGCCAGGTAGAGGAAACTTTTTACTTTTACCTTTCAAAAGATACTAACTGTCAAGAGACGAGCTCTAAAATTGAATGAAAAAACTTTCCAGCACATCACAACTTTTGATGTTTATTCGACTGGGATCGTATTATGACTGTGCTTTTTTTCTTTTACAGGTATAGACGAATGAGCTAGTGTGTGATGCGAAACTTTTGAATTTTGATAATTTCCGATTTCTTCGCCAGTCGGGAATAATAATATCGAAAATGAGACATTTGTTTTCCAGATGTTACATGACATGTACGTTACGTTAAGCCCTGTCACTCATTTCCGTCGGTCTTTTTGTCTGTTTGTCGGTATGTCCCCTAAACCTTGGCCCCTATATTTGGCTGAAATTTTTACACAAGGCGACTACTATGCCGAGGACCAAAAGCTTTGTAGGTTTTTGAGAATTGATCTAGTAGCGGCTGAGCTACGGGCAAAAAACAAAAAGCTCAGATAATCTGATTGCCATTATTCGCCTGTGGGATGCCGAGGTTCAGGCATATGGAGACGATTTCGTCGTTCTAGTCAGAGGGAAATCTAAGGAGCATATCTTGGGAACACTCAAGGAGAAATGTCAATCAACTCGCAAAAAATGGTCATCGTACTTTTCACCAGAAAGAGAAAACTGGATGGGATTAAACCTCCAACAAAATCTACCGTTTGCAAAAGAGGCGAAATATCTAGGAATAATCTTAGATAAAACAATAAACTGGAATATCTGGAAGCAGTCCTTAAGAAGGCAAGGATCTCGCTATGAAACTGCCGAAGGGTCTGTCGGAAGAACTGGGGAATGAAGCCTGAGCAAATGTTTCCGCTTTATACCATGGTTATTAGACCTATGATAACCTATGGATCTGTAGCTTGGTGGGGCAAGGCAGTACAAAGAACTGTCCAAGCCAAACTGAGCGCAATACAGAGAGAAGCTTGTATGTTGATCACTGGTGCCTTTCGCCACACCAACTGCAGCTATGGAGGCCCTTCTTAATTTACCACCCATGCACATGTACCTGGAAGGCGAGGCAAGAAGGGTATCTTATAGACTACATCATGTGGCAAATGGTTTAATGGACAATATCAATATGGAGGAGACGGACATGCTGGTTCCACCACAGTCTGGAAATGCCTTCTTATATGATGCCAAAGATATCAAGATATGCTAAACCCTACTCAGTGACAATCCCACACAGGAATGAGTGGGAACAGCAAGTCAACCTGATAAGGAAAGATATCTGTGCGTACACAGATGGCTCCAAGACCCAGGTAGGCGTTGGAGCTGGTATCTTCGTGCCGAAGCTAAAGATGAAAAAACCTGTTAGCCTAGGAACCTGGGCATTGATCTTCCAGGCAGAGCTATATGCTATAGAACTGGGTGCCAGAACATTTGCAAACTGATTTGTGTATAGCAAAATACAGTCGTGATGGAGACAACTTAAGTTGAATGGTCTATTTATTCGCTTCGATAAAATAAAGGTAGGCATTCTAAAACATTTTACGTTATTAAGAAGCTGATTTTTGACGTTTAAGTCAACTTTCAATGCATTGCTGTTTTTGTTAACAATAAAAAAATGGCTCGTGATAAAGCTGTATCTGACGAAATAAGAGAAGTGAGCATTCACTTGCATTTAAAAGGCCAAAATCTTCCCAAATTGTTGATAATGTGAACAAATCGAGATATCAGTTTGAATATTATTAAATTGGGATGTGTGGCTCAAAAACTGGGAACTCGAAGTCGCCCGCGTTATTCCAACTTAAGAGCCTTCAAACGGATTATCAAGGAAAATCGGTGTGCTAATTATAACGAATTAAAAATGTCAGGCAACCACAAAAAAGTTTTCTAAAATAACTTGTTACAGAACTGCCCAAAAAGTTGGATTTAAAACTTACAAGGTAGGCTTAAATTATTTTTTAATATTCGTTCTCAATTCAGTTTTTATAAAATAGAAGCCCTTATTGACAAAGATTCAGAAGAAAAACAGACTAGCGTGGGCGAAAGAACACAAATTATGGTCTCCGAACCAATGATACTCCATTATTTGGACTGATGAAGCCAGATTTGAAGTATGCATCGGTGATAGTCGTGTCATAAGAACTAAAGAAGAAGTGTTTCAGAATGACTGTCTTTAAAAGTTAAGCTTTCGTGGAAGGTGTTATCAATGCTGATAAGTACATTAATGTGCTTCAAAATAACCTAATACCCCAAATTGAACAAATGCGTTTAAAAATATTGCATGCATCTTCCAAAAAGATGGCGCCGCTTGCCAAGCGTCTAAAAGAGTAAAATATTGGATATTCAGATCTATCGCCGATCGAAACCTTGTGGCATATTATGGAGAAAAAGCTCCGATCGAATCCAGCAAGAACCGTTCTAGAATTGGGTACCCGTCTCCAAGAAATTTGGAACAGTTTTACACCTGATGACTGCCAAACATTAGTTGACACTATGTCAAGACGTATGGAAGCAGTAATCCGTCAAAAAGGCGATGTAACGCAGTGACGATTTGCTGCTATTTGGTTTCGTTGATTTTTATTAATGGGCAGTTTTTTTAATTTGTAAGATATTTTTTCCTTGTTACAAACAAAATGTTGTATTTTAGGCTAATATTAAATAAAAATATCGTATGTCATCAGAAATACATTTTAGTTTTCAACGCGTTTCCGCTAATATGACAAATTTCATAAAAAATGTAGTTTTGACAGTTGGGCAAACTTCACAGAGACAAGGCTCGTACAAGTATTTCTATAGCTCAAGAACATAAATAAAAATCTAGTTGAATTTAATATGGTTAAGGTGCGACAAAAATGCAATCAGAAATAATCTTTTGATAAGTGAACACACCCAGCCAAGTTTTGATTCCACTTAATTCACTTGAATAGACTTGAACTATTCTTTTTTTTATTATAAATGTGAGTAGTTTTTCTCAATTTTTTCCCACTATCGTTCTACAACAGAATGATTGTCTATTCCAATTAGGTTGACTCTGTCCTGACTTCATCTGGCGCTAGTGGGAAGTACTGAGTCAATCTACTTGATGCTATTTTTGTATGAGTAACAGATGAAATATAAAACTTACCTTGGCCATGTCGGTTATGGTATTGGCGTTATCCATTAACTTACGTTGGTCCATTTTAACTTTTCTTAGCCTGAAATTATACAAGGAGTAAGCAAACTGACTGGTCAAATTTCTAAGGGTAAAGTATTTTTCACGAGTATGAATTAAGTTTTGACGTCTACTGAGGTAAACAGCTGATCATCAAGTGACATCTTTGTCATGGAGTCTGAAGTGGGCAATAATGAACGAGGTCAAAACTTTCAAAGCACACAAACGGTTTGTATTTTTTTATTCCTACCCGTCTTGCAATATGGTTATGATCACTTTGCTTTTCTTGTGTGCAGAGTAACTTTTCTAGATAAAAGCGTTGTTCGGAAGTACGAAACCGTCGCGTAGAAAAGACCACAACAAAATATGACTCTTTCTCCAGATCTAGTGTTAACAGATCCGTCAGAATTGTCGACATGGGGAATTTTGTAATATTACTGGATAATTAGCTGCTATTTGCTGCCATGGTTCACGTATTGGACACTCGTGGAAAATACTTTAATTTCTCGGGCGATATCAAGGTAACGAACATCAACAAAAAGCATTCAGAACTAAGTATTTTGCCGAATATATATATATACTAAGTGACATATAAATCCGAACACCCAGTTTAAATGGTTTTATTTTAATAAAAGTTGGTGAATGTATTTATCTTACTGTAAATAACAAGTGAAAAAATTTTCAGCCTTATCAGTTGGACATTCCGGTTTTTATACCGCTTTTTTTTAATTCACTAACGCTCTAAAAATGAATATTTCAGCCGCAGTAAAGAATCAACGTTGGCGGATTTTGGTTCTTGACATCCTTTACGATCGGTTACGATGCCTAGAGTACGGAGACCTGTACGATTTCGTCAACTTAGTGAGTTTGATAGGGGCCGTATAGTGGGACTTCGGGAAGCTGGACTTTCTTTTCGGGTAATTGCAGTTAGAGTGCAAAGAAGTGTAGACACTGTGGTTAGGTGTTGTCAGGCATGGCTTCGAGAAGGCCGTACGCAAAGAGCAAGGGGCACTGGACGCCGCCGTAGAACAACATACCGTGAAGATCGCCACCTAAGATTATTAGCCTTAAGGGACCGTTTGTCCACTACCAGGTCCATTGCAAATGAATGGTTTGCAGAACACGGAAGACCTATTGGCATGCGAAGTGTTTACCGACGAATGAGAAGTTTTGGCTTGTTTTCATACCGGCCACACTGGGTCCTCCCTTTAACTCGAGAACACCGACGTAATCGCCTTGAGTGGTGCAGACAACGGTCACTCTGGGATCAGGAATGGAACAGTATTGTCTTTAGTGACGAGTCTTGATTTTGTTTAGGCATGCACGATGGTCGTGCCAGGGTTAGAAGGCGGCGTGGTGAAAGGAGGAATCCACGGTTTTTTGTTGAAAGACATGTTCATCACGCTGTTGGAGTTATGGTTTGGGGTGCTACAGCTTATGGTTCCAGGTCACCTTTAATCTTCATCAGAGGTAACATGAACGCGCAGCGTTATATCCACGAAGTTCTAGAACCCTATCTTTTACCCTATCTTGACACCCTGGCAGATCCAACTTTCCAACAAGATAATGCCCGACCACATGTTGCAAGAGTCACAATAGACTTCTTTCAACATAATGATGTCACATTGTTACCATGGCCACCAAGATCTACCGACTTATCCCCAATTGAGCACGTGTGGGATATGATGGGTAGGAGATTGCTCAATTTGCAACGTCCTCCTCAGACTCTAGAAGCACTTCGAGAGGAGTTGGTGGTTGCCTGGCATGAGATACCACAGGAGGACATTGACCACCTGATCAGAAGCATGCCTAGGCACGTTGGAGAATGCTTAGCACATCAGGGTGCATCCACACATTATTAAAGGTCAAAGGGCTTTAAAGCAGTGCAATCATTTTGAAATTTTTATCATTTACTTATTATGCTTCATTAAGTACTCATACAAAATTTTATTAAAATAAAACCATTTAAACTGGGTGTTCGGATTTATATGTCACTTAGTATATATATATATAATTGGTGAACTCAGGAGCTCTACATAAGAGTAATGAGATGAGATTTTTAACAGTTAAGTTCGTGGGTATGCAGAACCGTTTTTTCAAACCCACATGTATTATTTGTTTTCCAAATTCTCCGTACCATAAGAAACCTGTCACAAATTATATGTAGAAACAAAAAATACGAGACAAAATTAGTATAATTAATTGACATGCATTTGAAATTTTTTACGCAAAATTTCTTAGGCATGGGATGATATACAGGATGTTTTCATAGTTGAGGCATTTATTTTAACCGCTTGTAGGACTCGCCAGAAGAAGCTGATATACCAAAAATCACCTACATAAAAGTTGCATGATAAAAGAAATAGTGAAAAATTATATATTTTAAAAAATAAGAATGTTATTACACATATTTTTTGATGTTCTTAACGACGACTGCCGTGTAAAATTTTAGCGTTTTTTTATTTACTACTTTATCGTTTATCGCGTGCAAACTTTTTGTGTTGTAGTATGGTTTTCAGTACGAGTCTTTGGTTCGATCAGTTGTATCAGTCTTTTTTTTATTTGTCTGATTATATTGTGTGAAAAAACGGCCCAATGAACTAGTGGACAAGATACTAATATACGGAGAGTGCCGCAGCCGCAGTATGCAGGTTGTATGCGGAAACGTTTCCTTGAGGAAATCATCTGGCCCCACGGATGTTTGTAAATTTACCTATTAGGCTCCGTGACACGGAATATTTAAAAAAAAAACAAGTAGGTTACGCTGGACCACCTGCTCAACCGCAAATGTCACAAATTGAGGAAGAAATTTTATGAAATGAAGATTTTACCAAATTAATTTTGTGTACAGAGGCGGCCACATTTACACGAAATGGAGTGCACAATTTCCACAAAAATCATTTTTGGGCAGTAGAAAGTCCGCATGCTATAAGAAGAACTTTTCTTTCGCAAAGATTTTCATTAAATGTTTGGGCTGACGTGGTAAATGGCACGCTTATTGGACCCCACTTCTTTCCACCTCGACTGATCGATGAAATTTATTTAGATTTTCTTCGACACAATCTGCCACAATTATTAGATGTTCCTCTAAATGTGAGACATAATATGTGGTTCCTACATAATGGGGCTTCTCCATATTTTAAACGAGAAGTCCAAGAACGTCTAAATAATGAGTTTCCCAATAGATGGATAGGGCGCAATATACTCATTTCTTGGCCTGCTCCCTCGCCGGATTTAACGCCTAGCGATTTTTTCTGCAGGACTATTTGAAAGATGGAGCAGTAAATACTCTGGAAGAACTTCAACAGCGCACTGAAAATGCTTGTGATTTGATTTGTGGGCATCAGAATTTTATTTTCGGAGATTGTGAAGATACGTGGATTCGCCGAGCAAGATTTTGCGTAAATCGAGCAAAGGGGGACAATTTTGAACAGTTTTTGTAAAGACGGTATCCATTTAACTGGATACTGATTTTTTTTAAATAATTTTTAATAATGTAAACGAACTTTATATTATGCAACTTTTATATAGATGATATATAGGTTATTTGGTATATCAACTTCTTTTGAGGAGTTCTACAAGCTGTTACAATAAATGACTCAACCCAGTAGGTACATGAAATATATTTAGAATATCGCGTAAAATCCAAAAAACGAATAATATACGGGCCCTCGTTTTGAAAATGTTTCAGTAGAATGCTCTCATCGGTTATACCATAAACCCAAAATTTCATAGCTGTTTTACGTGAACTTTTTAAGTAATTGATTGTTGCAGCTCTACGTGGGACACCCTGTATTTTCAGCAACAAAGTTCTGATTTCTCCTGGCTGGTGCTTGCCACCCCAAGGCAAAACGTTTGTATGAACATAGGTACGATAATGCTTGATAAAGCTTCGTTTACATCATTCAGGTTATGCAACTTTTTTGTAAGAGTCACAATAGGCTATTTTCCGAGGTCTGTAAGTCAAGTGATGAGACTGACTTTTTTACTTTTTTTATTCAAATATAATCAAGGGCAGATTCAGGATTTCGTCTAGGGGGGGGGGGTGCGCAAACGATATTTGGGGCTGGTCATTTTTTAACCCCAGTGGAACTTCTAGAATTTATCCTATTATTGCTCCTTAAATCCATTGTGTTCTATATGGCCAAGGTCAGCTTGAAAAAAAACATGGAAATTGCTCAGAAATCCGCAGAAAGCCAATATTTTATTATACGAGAACAAAATAAGTACGTAGCATTTATAATTAACTAGTGTAATAATAATAAAGATTCAAACATAAAAAACTTCATTGCTCTGTTAACCGATAAAAAATAAATAAAACATTATGAGAGACCCCGAGACATATCCCAGTCCATTCCACATAAAAAGATGTCTTTTATTGCGAAAACGAACACGAGACCAAGAAATTCACATTATCGTATGGACGCTAGACAAGACAAAGAAGGATGTCTGTAGACCATCTATAGATCGTGTCTTGACACCGTATCCAGACTACCTATAGACAAATTGCGCAACAAGGTCTACTGGTATGTAATAAGCTTCAGGATTAAGTCTCTGAACTGCCCATTAAACAAAACAAGTAAGTGGTGTAAATACTGACACAATCAAGCACTTCCATTATATCAGCAGTAAGAGACATGTACTCCTCCATTCCGACGTGGATAATTTCGGTTATCGAAGAACAGATAGCCGACAGACATTTCTCCAAGGAAAGGTATAGAAGATGTCTCTGAACCCCTCCCAGTCGGCATGTCCGTAATGCCAAGTTTTGCGGCCTGTGCGAGTTTCTGCTGAAACAGCGGGTACTGACCGAAACCTAACCTCCACAACACAGTGGTCTGAGTTACCCAGGGGAGACAGGACAGCAGAGCTGTAAGGGACAGGATGCGTGGTCAGAAAGAGATCCAGCAGGATACTGGCATGTGACGAGACGCGGGGCAAGAAAAGTAGGGCCCGTCACCAGCTGGGTCAGCCCTTGAGTAAGAGCGAACGCTTTAACTGCACGACCTGCTCCATCGGTCTTGTTTGAGCCGAGGAGAACTACTTCTGATGCTGAGTGATTGATGTTTAGGAAGTCGATCTTGACGGCGAGGTATTCAAGAAGGTCATCCCAGTTATGATCCGAGGGGAGCGATAAAGGCAGCAAATAAATTTGGGGGATGTTTTGGAGTTGAGGCGAAGCCACAGAATGTCCTTCCGGTCTGATTCCAGGGAAACATCTCTGCAGCAAGAAAGTCTGCTGCGGACAAAGGCCACAACTCCCCCGTTCTTTCTCAAATTGGAGTGCACCTCGCAATTTGATAAGCTAAGATAGTTAATCGGTGCGGACCCTGAGATTTTTGTCTCCGCCAAGAAAAGCATGGCGGGACGATTGGATTGCAAGTAGTGACGAACAGCATCAATGTTGCTGTTAATCCCGCAGATGTTCGTGAAACAAATTTTATCTTCGATGTTGTTCCCTCGAATCCACCCTCCACCCAGACATTCTGAGAGTGGAGTGAGCTTACATACGGAATTCTTAGTACTCGAGGGATCCGTCATCATTAATTTCTTTGTTTTGGAAGATAACTGACTGCAAAGCTTAGGTGTGGAAATATGCGAACATTTATAAGACACCCTGGGAAAAGCTATAGGGTGGTACCGCCTTGGTCGACTGGTCCTTGTCTACCACCTTCTTTTTGCGTGTTAATGATATTAAATAGACCTAAAGTGGCCCCTTGGCGAACTTGTACCGCCACGCGGCAAGCGGTACTGAGGTATTCCTTAACGCGTGTACAATCACTTGTACGGGAAGAAGTTGTATGCTGGATACAACAACTTCCGGAACAAGCATTTGCCACGGCCCCGCTCAGTAGGGGATATATATTTTGAAATTCAATATAGATGTTAGTTATTTTTCAGACTTTCGTTGTCGAACTTAGATTCACGACATAATTGTTTTCTCAGTTTTCGAATAGATGTTGATCGCATGTAGAAATGTTGGAAATCCTTGGAAAAAACTATATCTGTTAGATCGTAATTATTTTGATAATGTATGTTTGTAATAAACAAGTACAGGAATATAGGGCTGTACATATTCACGTATAGTGCAGCAGCTCTGCGATTTAAACGAATTCAATATAGCAATATAGACACATACGCGAGAAGAGGTGTGGGACGTGTGGTATTGATTTTGGGCATCGATCGAAGCAGTTTCTAGACAGGCCACAGGCGCACCGCTAAACATATCTCATAAATGTCTATTTCCAATTTAGGCATTCATCTAACATAGTGGTTCGCTGTAAGACCAACCCCGAACAAAATCAGTTAAGCTTTACACACTTTTCAAATTACTATTGTATAGCTAATATATTACCCAGACTTAGATTTGTCACGAGTCACAATACTCGTATATACGTATAAATCGTAAGAGTTGTGCTGTAAACAAGTGATGTCAAAGAGGGACAGCATTTGGAATACCAAAGGATACCAAAAAATCATAATGCTCAGTGCCTATAGCTATAACTTATAGTTAGTATGCCTCTGTCACCATGATGTGACAGAAAGTAACACTGTTAGATTGCAAAAGCAAATGTCAGACGTTTAGGGGGCGCGCCCCCCGCGCTCCCTTCTAAATCCGCCAGTGAATATAATTACAATTTTATATTTTCACCCTTGTCAGTCTTTTCAGAAAAAACTGTTTTCATGTTCCCCTGTCTCTCCTCGAAGCCCGGCGCGCTATTGTTGCCAGATCGAACGCTACGTTGCCAGTCTTATCACTTAATTCACAGACATCGTATTAAACAAGTTAAAAGGTACTCGCCGTATCGCCGAAAATTTAGTTAAACCACTTAAGGGAAACTCCTTGTACAAGCAATGTTAATTTCATCTCTGTTATTATTTTACAGCCTCATTTTACGCATTCTTTGAAAATACGGCGTACAAAGTTGCTAAAAAGTTATTAAAACTTCTAAAATGCCTCCAACCTGTAATACCTTGGAGGAAAAATGCCAAGCTTCAAGATTTCAGTACGCACTTTGAAATAATTATAATTTTATAATCTTAATTTGCGTAAATTCTTTAGGTGGAAAAGGGAAACAACGGGGGACCAATCAGACTCCATCCAATTGTTGATAACTTCAAAAGATGCAGAAAATTTAATATTTATCTATGGAGGCCTTCGCATACTGGGTGTCTTAAATTCGACCCTCACCATCATTAAATGGGGGCAAAGTTGTGTATTCAGGTAATAAACAAAAGTTTCAAAATTCAAAGTACTTCCGGAGAGAGACGAAAAACAGAATTTTCTCAAAATCGTTTAAATTTGTTCCTGACTTTATTTGTAGTGGGATTCTAAAATAAATAGCACATTAACACTGCCACGTTTTCAAGATGGCATAAATAGAGTTTTTATAATGACTTTTCGTCTCTTGTCCTCCAGCATCAACTTTATTCTTATACAGGCCATATTGGATTTTTACACAGGTAAATTTTTTTTTCTATAGTTCGTCCAGTATCCCACCAATATGAAAATAAAACTCTATATAAAGGGCCTATCCAAATCTGCAATAAAATCACAGGCAGCATAAATGGCAACACCGTGTGGTTTTATCTGAGCACACACTGCTAGAACGGACTAAGATAGAGTTGCCATATGCTGGAATATAGTAGTAGTAAACCATAGGAATCATATGATACTTACGCATATATAGCAAGTAAAAATTTCCTTTGATGGGTTCTTACTCTACCTGGATTTACTCTTTTCACTAGCCTTGTATGTTTGTAGATCAACCAGGTTTCTCTTAAAACGTTAGCGGCCGCATTTTTCAACTGAAACAAAAAGAAAAATTGATGGAAAATTCTATCGATGTCATTTCAAAAGCTTCATAAGTCATACAATTTGGAATCAATAAAAACTGTGCCATTGACAAATAAACTAGCTTCAAATGACTCTTTTGCGTCTAATTTTTATTATATTATATTCACCTTGAATAACATTCAGAGTTTTATGAATAATAATAAAAAAAAACTGCAAACTGACAAGGACGGTATTCAGATGTTTATGCAATGGACATCCATTACGTAATATTATTTGAAGAGGAGGGCACTTATTGACTTGAGTATGTTATACCCAAAATACGCATTCACCTATGAGAATGCCGTTTTCAGCAGAAAATGTCTTAAGTGGTTTTTGAATATGGACCACAGAATCCGATATCCTAACAGAAAAGAGGGGCTGGATCGAATCCAGCAATTGGAATTGCATATAGTCTGTCTAAGGGCCGTATCGTCTGTCGTTCCTACAAATGTGGGACGCCTTTATGGCCTCCTTGATTTTCATAGTCTTTTATCTCCTTCAGAAAGGGTGGGGTATTTTTGGATTTCACCTGTTCCGTGTCAGCATCAGCGCTCTTCTATTGTGAAGTTATGTTTTCTTTTTCAATCGTAGGAAATTTCAGGCTGATAAAACAGATGATATAAATCAAAAGCATGAACAATTTGATGCAAATAGATATTTGTGACATAACCTTAAAATAAAACGCTGACAAGAAACAGTACAAAACCATGAAAATCAAAGACGCCTTAAAGGCCCTGAATATAGCCCTTTATGGATGGAAAGGAACTTTCACCAATACGGTAAGGGATTAACAGGGTTAAACTATGCTACAGCATTTATCTAACAAAAAGAGGAAAGATAAACCAGCAAAACTACTCACCCGTTTTGTCAGCTGTGTATCCATCATAAAATTATGTACATGTTTCTCAGCTCTCGTTAGCTCTAGTTTTCTTGATACTACTGCTACTAGTAAGGCTGTGCAACCAGCTCCCTGAAGAAAAAACAAAAATCTTTTAGAATATATATATATATATATATATATAGTTAGAATCATGTCTGCTCAAAATCCGTACATGGGTTCAGATGTAAATATTAATTTGTGGATGAAAATAAAATAATTAGGCTTCGCTAACTAGGGCACTTTCAAGCAGCACAAAAAAGGAAACTTATTCGAGACATGATCAAAACGTCTTGGACCAAAGATAAATCTTACGCAACTGTTCTGATCAACCTGCAGTCTGTTCTTAGCTATGCCATCGAGGCAAGGATAAAATACTCGTATCACAGTAGGTAAGAACTGGTATAACAAGTGACTCGCAGGGCCAGTTTTTCCTCAATTTGAAGTTAGGGATAAACTTGTTGGCATATAAAGCACGGAGTCGGAGGTATGATTTCTTTAGGAGATTCTTTACGTGGTCTGTGAACCTCAGCCTCTGGTCGATAGTAGATATTTTTGTACACATAGAAAATACATATTTTTTTTACCAATTTTTACCGATAACAATGATACGACACATGTTTTCCATGCTTCTCTTTGGTACACATTGAAAATGAGTGCAGGGTCCGACATCAGATCGCTCACGGCTGGCTAGCGTGGTTTAGCAACGTTGCCAGATGGTTGGTACTGTCAGTAGGGCAGGAGAGACATTTCTAGATGGCAGCGCCATAAAATGTAGGGCGATTAAGGACAAATTAAATGATGCTGTTTGACTGACTTATTCCATTTGAATCGTAGGAAGTAGACTTATGTTTTATCTACCAAAAGCTATAACAAATATGCTAGCATCCTTTTCATATAAAATATTGAAATGTTTTAGCGAGGTTAGCTATCTCTTTGACTTTAATATGAGTGAACATCCATCTAGTTTGTCAAAGTTCAATATCTTCGTTACTATTAGAGTTGTAGAAAGGGTAGAACCAAAAAATATTTTCAGCTATACAGGGTATCCCATAAATTAGCGGCAATATAAATTACTATTTTTTTAAATGAAACACCCTGAATTTTTGTTAAAATCATTATTCATTTGACTTCCTGTAACATGAACCGCAAATCTGCTTTGTTATAATGAGTGATGGAAACAGTGGAAGACATTCATGTTTTTCTGTACATATTTCATTCGAGCCGTACAGGGTGAGTCAAAACAGAAAAATGTAATTTTCTCGAAAAATTTAAATCAAACACCCTGTATGTTATAACTCTATTCAACGCGTCTCGTAGTGCTCTTCCAGTTTTATTAAGCATTGCCTATACTGAAATCTAGTATTTTCTGAGATTTTCCATGTGTTAGAAGTGAAAACCATAATATGTGAAACTGTGTTGGATTTCTGATATACCCACACACATAGGGTTTTTTTAGTATCATCAATCCATTCTATTTTCTGTATGTGTGTCTATTTGTTTTTCATCACTTGTATAGAGTTTCTCTGTAATTGGATGTTGTATCTGTTGAGAGATATGTATATGAATAAAATAAAATAGTTCAAAGGATCACCTCTTGCATTTTTGCACATATAAGTAATATAATTTTTATTGATTAATACGAAAATCTAGTTTTTTGTTATATTGGAATCACCCCGAAGTTCGGTCGCTGAATAATTGAACACGTGTCAGACCAGAGAGCGGTTAGTGCTATCCGTTTCCAACACAAAACGTCATATGAACTAAAAAACAGCAAACACCACACTAATCGCTCTACGCTGTACCCATTACCGGAAAGAAAACAAAACTTCCATCCCAGATATTCCTGGAATTAATGTCGTTTTCGATATGGAGTGGATGCCAAGGTCATAAGCGCCGACATTTCAAGCTTCAGCAGGAACTACGTAAATATCGCAAAATACTGTTTCCTTGTCTTTTTTTTTTGTTGCAAACTGGTTAGGATTTCGTTCCTAGCATCGGAAACCAGTTTCCATCTAGTTTCCAAGTGGGTAAACATTTTTAATTTTTGGGCTACAAGTTTTGGCATCATAAGCGAACATGTAATAACTTGTATTTTTGATGTTCAATATATCGAAAACTGTTGGCCATATGGTAAAATTGTATGTAATCAAAATTCTGTATAATAAATAAATAAATAAAAACACCTTTATTTTAAACTCGGCGAAGGCCAGCTATGCTGTTAACTTAACCGAGCATGTAAAAAGTAACAACAAGCCAAAAAGAAAAGTAATATGACAAGAAACAAGTTTTACATTACATTAATTTTAGAATATTACATAACAACAATGAACACTAATAACAACAGATGTACATGTACAAAGAAAATAAGCAATAATAAACAACTTATACTTCACAGAAGCAGTTGTTTCAGTTTTCGTTTGAACATATTAGGAGACATATCTTCAAATTGACCTATATTGTATTGGTTTAGAAGTTTGACTGATGTATAGGAAAATGAGCTTTGAGTCATGGTTTTAGTTATTTTAGGTATTTCATAAAGTACATTAAAGCGTGTTGCACGAGAGTGAATCAGATTTCTACGAGCTAATTTTTCAAACAGATAGTTTAGTTTTAATCAATTTATGAAGAAAGCAAGCAAAATGCAGCTTTTCTCGATTGGAAACATTCAACCATTTCAGTTCGGAAAGTTTATGACTGATATGATCGTGACGTCTAAGCTGGTAAATAAGTCGTATGCAAGAATTCTGCACTTTTTGGAGTTTATCCTTAGTAAATACATCTAAGCAAGGACCATACACAAAGTTGCAATAGTTAAGGTGACACAAGACCAGTGCTTCGCAGAGAACCTTTTTTAACATAAAACTAAGAATATCTTTACTTTTGTAAATATTGCGAAGGTTAAAATAGGCTTTTTGTAGAAGCCTAGACACATGACTTCGGAATCTAAGCTTGTTATCAAAGATAACGCCTAAATTTTTATATTCCTCAACAATCGGTATTGCCACACCATCCATTGCTATCATCAAGTTTACAGACGCCCAATCTTTAGCTGGCCCAAAGTAGATTATGGCTGATTTATTAGGATTCAATTTCAAGCCATGATTAAAGGAGTATTTGAAAACTAAATCCAAACACTCGTTTAGCCTCGTAGCCGCTTCAATTGCGTCCGACTTAACAAAAGAAAGCTGAATCTGTGTATCGTCAGCGTATCTATGATTGTGAACCATTCTTCCATGCTCTTCAAACCACTGGTTAGCGATGATTCAAGTACTAAGGAATCTGACTCTCAGAGCCAGGGGTCCTCCTAGAAACTTATCTTATCTATAGACCGGATTCACGCAACCTGAAAATTGACCCCTCTCAAAGTCACTTAGCTGGGATACACGGCGAATTCTATGCACTCTAGGCATTTCGAGCAATCACAAAAAGGCTTCTCCACAAGTTACACGAATAATCGATATGTGAAAAAATCTTATAAACATACGTAGGTGTCACTCAGTACAATAATAGCATTTATTGCCCAACAGAATTTTTATAATTCCATTTTCAGGACAAAGAATTTATATCTTCCATTACAACAAAAAATAATACTAATTTGTTCAAATTTAAGAGAATAAACTAACATTAGTATAACAAGTGTAACGCTATTTAAGGTGCTGCCATACAAGCCTCTTCAGCTGAGGAAGAGAACACATATAGATATCAGAAATGCATATTCTGTTGAAGTTCATGCACATGACTGTTACAGGAGATTTAAAAGCTAACGTATTTGGACGGTATTGTTTCTAGAACATATCCCTGGAACTGAAAACTTGAGCTGGGATAACAGGCCTTTAGAATCAACAATACCACGTAAAAGTTCATATAAGAAGATAACGGAGCTGTTTTCTTTCTCACTCAAGGAGGCAACTTGATAGGCCGTCCCACGCTGACGGTAAACTGCAGCAATCTTGAAAACCAAATCCAGAATGGAACGTATATATTCAAAGTCAAGTTTTTAATAAGCTTACAATTTCTAACAATAAAACCTAAAGCTCTATTAGCACTACTTACAATTTAAGTAACGCGATAGTCAAAATGCATCTTTCTGTCAAATGTCACGCTCAAATCACAAACCGTTTCGTGCCGATTGATTATATTTCCTCCGATGTTATAAGGGTAAATTTACGATTTGTTGTATTCGACAGAATGTAACCACTTTGCATTTAGCGATATTCAGATGCGGATTATTAAATCGACACCAATCTTTCAACTTGGATAGTTGATACTGTAAGTACTTACAATCAGTGATGCTGTTGATTCCAAAGAACAATTTCAGTTCGTCGGCAAATATGGATATTCCTACTTACACAGGGTGTCCCGAAAAAAGTCTGCAATATTCTACCAGCAGTTTCTAGAGCTTAAAATAGGAAGACAAGTTTATATAAACATAGGTCGACAAACGTCCCCTAAGGGCTATACAGTCTTTTAAAGGGGCTCCCCTGAACATGGTTTTCCTTAATATTTCCGAAACGTGGTGGGATAAAGACATAACATTTGGTATGCTAGCCTAGTTTTTTATGCTGGATTTAAATATATTAACAATTTTAGACAGTTTTGTTTGGAAGCGTATGTAACAGAGACGGACTCAAGTTATTTTAGCCCCAAAATTTTTGTGTGATTCTATTTTTGAAACTCAATTTTAGAATTTGAAAATCTAGGGCTTTCTACATAAAAAAGGTACTCTTATTGAATATCGATAAATTGTGCCATTTTTGAATAAAATCAAACTAAAAAATTTGTCACATGATAGGAAATTGTTGATTATACATACATAGTTAGCCATGACTGCAAACAAAAGTTGTTTTGATTTGTTATGACTTATTTTCACGTTAAGCTGACATTGTTAGCAGTGCAAAATTACTAGATTAAAATCAAAATTTTTATTAAATCAATTTAAAATGCCAAGATTTATAGACAGAGAACTGACTGACATGCATTGTGTGTACGCGTTTTGCAATGGCAGTTCATTGGCAGCCGTAAGAGAATATGAAAGAAGATTTCCCAATCGCATAGTACCTGGATGTCGAATGTTTACTGATATTCACCGGAATTTGTCAAACCATGGAAGTTTGCAGCACATGCAGGGCTCAGGAAGGCAACTGGGAAATCAT